CACTCCAACATATATCAAGAATACTTAATTGGCTTTAATTAAATTTTTTATTTTAAAGAAATAATAGATAAAAGTTCCAAATGAAGCTTTGTTTTCTATGTCTGCTGTGAGTGGTTGCATTGTGCAGAAGATTTAACAGTTCCAGGGGCAAAGGGCATAAACAGGGTGGCAGATTGAAAGTGTATTATTGGGAACTTCATCACACACTTCATGCAGCTTCTCCTCTACACACACTCACCTCTTTCTGGGTGGGGTCAACACCTTCAGGCAGCTCCTCGGCTGACTTGTTGATCAGAGCTTCTGGTGGAAAAAACTGACAGTTTTTCTCACTTTCACCACATTTCTTCTCCTGGAAAGTCACATTAAAGGAAGAAAACTGTAACATTTTGATGACCAGTGTATCAGATAAATAACCATTTCTGTTGGCTAAAAAGCCTAAACAATCAATGACTTGACATACAACTGTAACATTAACGGGTGATGTCACGTCTCCCAGTTCCACCTTCAACTCCTCATAGCTCTTTCCTCCCTAAAAAAAAAAAAAAAGAAACATTTGTCATTTGTTTTGCTCAATGTCAATACTGTGTTTTACTGAAAACGCATAACACTCACACTCCATTTGGAGGGATCCCAGGCTGTGAACCACCCAGTGAAGGTGGGCGGCTCAAAGCCTTGCTTGACCAAGATGATGGGGGTGTCTGGATCTCTGGCACCCGGGTGGGTTTGCAGGTATTCTCGGCTTGTGTTCACCGATTCTTTGCGCTCAACCTCAGTGGCCTCTTTACCAATCCAGAGAAACACCTGAGACCAACAGCAAGAGATAATGATTGACTGATTGAGATATACCTCCTCAGAACATCTACATTTGACATGTGATCATATTCACCCTTGATACAAATGCAACTTTTTTTTCCTCTCATGACACTAAACAATGTACCTCAGTTTCTAAAGACTAGATAAAGATTGTAACTTTTATTTGGTTATAACAGCTTTTGTAAACTCTGTGAGTGTCACAGACAGTGTCGACTCATACCTGGTCCCAGGTGTCCAATAGCATGACGTCATCCTCACAGAGGTCATCCTGTGTGAAGTTAGTCACCTCGGTCACAATGAAGCGGCCCGTCTTATTGGAGCATTCAAACAGGCGTGGCTGGTGGTCTAAAACCAGCTGCTGTAATCTGCAGACAGCAACACATCACTTGAAAAACAATGCAAAAACCCAATATGTGATTCTACGGCTGCTGTAATACTCTTGAAGCTTGTTTTTATCACCTCTTGTCACTCGCGTAGAGACCTTTACCTCCCAGCAACTCCCAGAATTCAAAGGGCTCCTGCCCCTCTGCCACAAGCTCCTCTGAGACTATCTGAGAGTTGTGGTGAAACACAGAGCTGACCTCCTTCGCCATGGCCCTCTCATCTCCACTGGATCCCTGTTAACAGTAAGTCAATTACACCTTTTTAATGTTTTGATCACTATAAACATTATCATAGTTTAAAGTTTGACATTATGAACTAATCTAATTAAACAAATTAAAGTACATTAATACAGCGAGAAAATGTTTAGAGATTTGGCATTTACACTATATGGCCAAAAGTATCTCTTGCTATATGGCGCTCACTATGTGCTGGGGGGCATTGCCATGTTCAAACAGAAAAGCCCTTTTCTCAAACTGCTGCCACAAAGTTGGATGAACTCCATTGCCCAAAATATTGTATGCTGTAGCATTAAAAATGCACATACTTTTAGCCATCTAAAACATTTCCTTTATTTCATTTTTATGTAACTGCTGATTCACAGATGTGAACATACATACAAAATCCATACACTATTACAAGATAAATGCCAGAAAATAAATCATATGATATCATCACTCTATCATAATTCTGTTTTATCCTACGTTGTAACTCCATTTTCGTTACCTTTCCACACCACAGATACATTCCTGATTGGCTATTTAGTAAAAACACATCATTGGAGTTCAGAGAGGATGCCAGAGCTGGAACCTCAATGGCTTTAGTGTTGGATGGGTCGGAGCCGTGGATCTGGAACAATCTTACTGGGGGCTCTGGCTCAGAAGGCCCTTTTCTAGATGTGCCGCCCTGAAAGAAAAGAAAGGAAAAACACATATGCGCCTGCCAAAAATAATACTTAAGCAGAGCTTAGTATCAATGATAAGCCTGTGAAAAATTAAACAAACATGATGTTGCCATGTTGTACCTCAAAGACGACCATTTTACCCTTGAAAATCGCCATAAAGTGCTTTGGTTCTTTGCCCATGGTTATTCTCACTTGAACCGGCTCATTACCGTACTTCTGATCCAAGGCCACAGCCTGAAATGCTGAAGCTGCCAGTTCATCCTGTGTTGCATGACGCCCCTAAAATAAAAGGTGGCAAAATAGCTTAATTTCATTGTAAGTGACAATTAAAAAAAATCAAAAAGAAAGGGCAGTGAAGGATGAATGTTTTACACCAAAGTTTGTGAAATTTTACTGAATGATCTTAAATTATTATTGTCATTATTATGTAAGACACTGTGTGTTACAGCACATCCTCACCTGCCACATGTAGAGCAGGTAACACTTCCTGCTGTTAACAAAGTATGTGTAGAGGACCAGGTAGCAGTCTCCTCCGTAGAAGTAGCCATACCACTGAGGGTCCACAGGCACGAGCTCCAGATTCTCAATCCTCCACACCTGGGAACATCAAAAAGGTGCACTAACACTGACTGAAAATAGCAATAAACTGCTGCTGCACAGCTGCATGTGTGGCTGCAACCAGGTTATGTCAAAGCAGTTGTCCTTCTGTGATGTTACTGAGATAAGCATGGCCTGAAGTGCTGAACTTTTTATACCACAGAGAGCAGTGCATCAGTATGCTTCTCTCTCTTGTATTTAAAAATTACATTTAAGGCTAGTGGTACACTGGTGGCTTCATGGGGTGTAATGTTCTTTACACAATATAAAGCAAATTGATGAAAAGTGAAATGCAAACTTTGCTGTTCCACTAGTGAGAGATGCAAATCAAAGAACTTATTTTGTGTATAGTGTCCATTGTAGGGCCTCTCGAATAACAGTCAGACTCACATTTAGTCAAAATTGGCTCAATTTTCATTAAACTGTGCCTTACTTTGTCTGCCAGACCAAATTAACTCACTAGGGGGCTCCTACCTTTATACCTTTAAAGGGAGCTATCTTAATGTGTGACAGTAGAAGAACATGGGTGTGCTGTATGATAATGATAGCTGAATTGTGTTTGGCAGCTTCGGTTTCACAGTCCTCGCATTGTTCATGCTGACTCACTGTCACACTGTCATGGCGAATGTTATTAGTAACATCTGTACTTTTAAAACTATGACAAGTGTGAATGTATGCTGTGAAATGAGGCCTAAAGAATAGTGCACATTGCTAAAAATCTTAATTAATTAAAACATTGCCACAAACACAACCTGAGGGCGTGGGGCCTCAGGGCTGCCCACTACACCCGGTTGGTAATCCAGCTATATTTGTCTCAACTTAGTTGAACTCTGAACTGAATGCTAATGTTGACACACTAAAAAACAACAATAGTATTATCTACTCTAAATACACTGATGGGCATTTTAACAGATAGCAAATGTTTGACATACAGCTTAAACTGTAACAGTTAGCATGTTTCACTTAGCATGTTGCAGTCACCATGGTAAAATAACTGTTGGGATATTTAGTGTACCTGACATTTAACCGGTTAGCATGCTGACATTAGTATAACATCATGCTGTGTTAGCATTAATCTGATAGTAGAGCTGAGGCGGCAGTGATCAGTCAGTTTTTTTTAGGTATCCTGACCCTAAGTGTTGGACAAGTGGAAAATTTGATCTGATCATAAATGATAGCCTGATCTTTAACCATGGCATTTAGCAAATGTCATAACCAAAAAGTCAAGACTGTGTACAAAAATATTAGACTGACAGACAATACCATGTGATACCACCATCAATGTGACTAAAATTAAAACCAGATACCTCCACTTGACCTGCGCCATTGTCCACCATTCGCTCCTGTGCAGCGATTTCTGGCATGACATGCATCAGAGAGGCATCAAATATCTCCTGTCTGATGTGAGCTAAAGCAAATATAATCATAAAACTAAATCATCAAGGTGTAATTAAAAGAAACATGTACTTCTTCTTTTTTGCTGGTTGTGTTTTTTTGGATTTACAAACAAAGGCACATACCCACTTTCCCTCTTGTACTGACTTTGCCCAGACCTTGAGTTTGGTCCTTCACAGTCCACCTCTGGAACAGCTGCTTAAACAAAGCAGACTCTGCCCCATCATTCACCACCTCCACATTTGTAGTGATGGGGTATTTTTTTGCTTTGATGAACTCCTATAAAAAACCAGTCAGATATAACAAATATAAAAATAAACATGTCATGCTGCATTGCCCAAACACAAGCTCATGATAGACAGTAGTGTCGCTCACCAAAGCTCTGGTCATAGCGGCCTGTCTTTCAGCTTTGTTCGCCTTCTTCCCCTTCCATACAAAGATTTTCAGCCCTCCCTGATCCAGGATGTAGCATTCCTAAAATGACAATTACATTAAGTATAAAAAAACCCAAATATTTTTCTTGCATCACTGAATAATATATTTTATCTCCACCCCCCTAAGCCCACAAGCAGTGTGAAGAACTTAAAAACATTAGCTGTACAGAAATGCTGAAATATCAGACTAGTTTGACAGCCACACCAAGTTTTATAGTGGCGTCCACCTAGATGTGACTGTTCTACAGAGTATACACATCCTTAACTCGGACAGTGTTGCAGAAACTCACATCATGGTTGAGTAAATCCTGAACCAGTGGTCTGGTAGCAACCTCTGTGACCTTCATCTGACCATCAGCATCTGACACCCTGAAATGAAAGCACAACTGAATAAAATTGGAACCTTAACTGGACATAGATGAATTCTCATCTACAGAATACATGAGTCATTTAGGACACTGGACACAACAGTGTCAGGGAGCAGCGCACTGGTAAAGTGTCAGTTGTGCCTTCTGTTCCTGGTCAGCGGTTTCATCAGGAGGTCCATCTTTCAGCAGTGAGGATCTTACTCCAAGAACTTCATTCAGGATCTCCATGTTTTCAGGAGATTTGTCCTCTACATTACCCTCGATCACTCTGATCTCTGCCCGACCTCCCCTCTCTCTGTCTCGGATGTCTTTGGCCAGCAACATTCCCTGGGAAGCAGAGGTACGATTCACAAAGACTACACAATACAGAAATCTCAGACTGAGGAAGAAATGAAGAAATACTGGACACCATATACAGTTTGTTTTTAAAGTAAAATGTTAATGTGCTAATACCATTCTTGTTCAGTGTAGTGAAATATGCTGCCACAAGCTATGAAATGTGTTTTTTTGAATTTCTGTAACTTAACTGAAGCACCAGCAAGCATCTGTTTAAGATTTTATATGTTGGTTTATCAGAACTCTCCTAATTATTACATGACTTACACTATGTACGTTACCAACCAGCTGAATATGACATAAATAAAATGTGATGTCAGTGTAAATATTGTGCTGAGACAGTGAACCATTCAGTGCCCAGCTCTTTTTTCAGGAAGAAGGAAACGAGTTTCAACTGTGCACGCCCACAACTTTCCATACTGGACAATGATATTTAGAATTTGTAAAGGGGGTGGGGCAGCAGGCAAAGCACCCAACTCACTTGTTTTTGGTATAAAAATGCATTTAATGTGCATTTTTCTATAGAGTTAATTGGACTATAATCATTTTTATTAAGTAAACTAAACACTCACAAGATTTGTTATTAATAAAAGTTGGTTACACTTTTGTTTATCCTTGGATTCTACTCAGTTATGTTTCCCAATGAATTCTGCTCCCAACAATATGCACAGGCATCCACGCGGTCACACATATCTTACTTTAAGCCTTTCCTGTTTGTTACTCTTTGGTCCATTCCACTGAATGATGGTCTTGCCGGTGTCCAACAAAAACACATCTCCAAGGTTGAAATTCTTCCAGCTGACCTCCACCTAAAGCAAGTTAAAACAAAGCACTCTTTCTACATGACTTCCAGTGTGTCCCAGTGGTAAATGTCCACTATGAAGTGTGGCTCACCTCTGTGGCAACCACTCTTTTTCTCCCTTTGACATGAAGCAGCCTCTTAACATCATAGCTGTTGGTTTCAGTGTGCCTCATGCCTGATGCAACGCCACCTTTCTTATAGCTAAACAAGACAGGATCATTATATTCAGGATTAGTTGTGCTGTCTATAAATGATTGCTCACTGCACTAAGACTTTCACTCACATTATTCCCTGTTTGAAGTATCCCCTGAAAACATCAGACTCGTAGCTCTGAACCTCACGATGTTGGATTGGAGTGGAGCCCAAATAGTCATCGAGCTGTATGGTGTAAACAGCAGCTGCACTCTGTTCATCCTGAGAGGACTCGGAGCCGATCCAGTAGTGGATATTATAAACCAGAGTGTTTTTCACATTCTGGGTCTGGAGAGACAAGAGTAAGGAAAACAGTGGGCGTAGGGTGGTGCAAAGATGAGGCTGCTAAAAGACTAGAGACGAGAACAATTTGGCACTTTTGATTACTCAAAACACAACACAGACCTACAAACAAACTACTTTGGTCTTAGCTGAACAAACAAGACGCCCTGGCCCCCAAACCCACAATGATTCATCAGTCACCTTCTCAGACTTACAGAGAGAAGTATGTAGCAGTCACCCTCAAAAAAGTTTCCATAGGATTTCTCAGGAACTTGGACCAGCTCCATTTTCTGTTGCACAGAGAGAAGATGTCCATTTTACTTTTATATCCATCAAAAAATCTGGACAAGCAAAAGGATTTTTTTCACTTTTTAATGATAAAACTTGGGAAAACCTGAATTCACAGTTGTTTTTGTGCAACTAAAACCAAATTACCTCAATTCTCCAGATTATAATCCCAGGATTTTTAGTTACTGCCCTGAATGCGTACTCCATGTTGCTCAGATGCTTGATTTTCTTTTGCTGGGGGAAAAAGTCTTTATGAAATAACTGATACAAAACTCCACCTTCATTCATTTTTGGTGCAATAATATAATTCCCTTTTATACAGACCTACAGCAGCACTAATGTTACTATTATCTCTAGTCTCTTGATCAACTTTAGAAAATGACACAGCCAATTCTGACAGAGAACCAGTGGGATCAAGACATAACTTTCATTTCTAATCATGTTTTATATAATATCAAACAGAACATACCTGCTATTCTTATTTGAAGAGGTTCCTGTGCATGTAAATACTATCTTCTAACATCTGATTTACTATAGTAATAAAAGGTCGTCAATCCTTTTCCCCTCAGTGCCTCCAAAAGATTTGCCTGTGTTTGCATGTTGCAGGACTTTTCACAATGTTCTGCCCAATCACTGAGGAAGACATATGATCCAGTAGGCAAATGTGCTAAAAAAAAGGTTTGACTCCTATTCAAATGCACACACAGTAACAATGATCATTGCCCTCATGCCCATTAGTTTCCCAGCTCACTCGGCTCTGTACCCTTGCGTTCGCACCATATATGGATATAAGCACAGCTGCAGGTAGATACAGCAGAAGACTGCATAAATGAGCTTCTACAAAAATGGTTCATTGAACCATGCTAATTATAATTATTTATCTTCACATTTGCTGAGCTAGATCCTGAAGAAAACCACCATTATTAAAATATTGATTTTCTTGAATAACTTTCAAACTAATAATGAAATCAGTGAGATTCCAAATGGTAGGGGTAGGCTTTCATGGTCAAGGAATCATATTATGAAGGTAAAACCATCAAGAAAAAATTTCTCTTAGGTGGAATGGCATTATGGGGAAACCTTGGCAGAGCCTGTGCTCTCTGAGTGCTGTCTAGTGGTTAGTGTTATTCAGGCCCACTGCTACTTACATGTAAGTGCTGTCTGACAGGGGCTACAAAAATAGTAATTACAAAAAAATGTCTAAAAATCAATCTAATTTTAAAATAGACCACTGATCCAATAAACAGCATAGACTATAACTTCTTGCATGAATAAATCTGATGATGGTGTCCCCTCTCTGTCTCCCTGTGGGCTGACAGGTCATGCAGCAGGTCGGTAGACGGTGAAGTTCAGCGGGGATTCTTGCAAATAGGAAGGAAGTGACCTTGAAAAACTAAGAGTCTATGTAGAGCATGGGCGAATCCAGGGAGTAGCAAGGGGTGGCCACAGTTGTGGTAACTTTTTAAATCACTTAACATTTTGACATTGGACCTATTAACCTCAATGTCTTTCTGCACAGTAAACAAGTGAGCTGCTCACAGTTTCTACAGTGAAATCATTGGGGACAAGCAGCTGTGCTCAGGAAAAGCAGCATCAGGACTGATTCTTCATTTTATTTTTCAGTAAATATTGTTTCCCCTGGATAATCACAGCATTTGTTCTGGTTGTGTCAACATGAATTATTACAGGCAGTTCTTACTTTTGCATTACTGTAAGCATGGAACACTATCAGTTAAATAAATATTAAAACAACAGCATGAACCATAAATTCAGCTTACACAAACACACACCCTTGCAGTCATCACTTACAGGGTCCGTACATAGACTTACATTCATTTCTAAGAGACTTACCCTACTCTTAACTAAAGCCGACACTTGCTCTAACAGTGCCAGTAGACTGTGCGCAGGCAGACACACAGTTGTCCTGAAAATATAAAAATGCAAACTACAAAATGAAAACACTGTTTTGATTTGCAAAATCCATTTACCACTTCAGAAACACAGGGTGCAACTTATATGAAATCATACAGGAGAGACAGACTGCCCTAAACCAAATACGTGATCAAATTGTTGCTTTCTCAGTCAGTCATAATAAGTTAATAAATGCTTACATTCACAGTGTTTTCCATGTCTGTCCTCCATAGATGTGTTTCTGCTGGAAACCACATGGATACCACTAACATGAAATGTCGGAAGAACATTATGCTGTTAATTAACATGAGCACAACAAAATACACACATACACAGTAATTATCTTAAGCTCGTGTTTTTGTATAGCAAGGTGGTCTTATAAATTACAGGTGAGACCAGAGGCAGTTTTAACAGTATTTCCTTTTATCCCAGAAATTCATTGTTCACTAAGCTAACTACTGCTGTGGATGTGCTACAGACATCCTTAGTACTATTACAGCTGCTGTGTACAGGAACAGCTGGATAACAACATGCCAGACTTGTTGGTGATATGTCAAAAAATGAATCTATTTTTAAGAAGAAACATCTTACATACTTTTTGCACACCAGTTTATTAATAGTTCTTCCACCATAAGTATTTCTTCAAGACTGCAATTTCAACTGAAGGTAATAGGAAGCCTTAGCAATATAAAGACAAATTAGGGGTGTATTTTCTAAAGTATAGTCTTTAATGTAAAACTCCCTCTGTAATTTCTTGGACAGTTGATTCCTTGCTGAACCACAGTGAGGAGAAAATACATTAAGTGGGAAGTTTGTATTAAAAAATAACTTTGGAAGATAGTTGATTTGTCTAACAGACTGCTGAAGCCACATACGGTATGTCTTTAGCAGAGAAAGCAGACAGTGGATTTTGTCTGCCAACATTTACACTAGAGATGAGCCATAGGACAGGATCCCTTCACAGCCAGTGTGAACAGGAGGAGGGATTACATCAACCACTGAGTCTTTCAGTGTACATATGGGCATGTGAGTACTGTTTTAAAGTGGGCAAATGCCATGGATACTTTTTATTTATCACAGTAACTTCTTACAGAGGACAGCAACTAGGAAAAATCAAGTAAATCAAATCAAAATTTTCTGTGACCAACCTTTGCCTTTAAAACAAGAGGAGTTCTCCTCTGGGCACAGTTTTCCCACATGTCAGGCAGATTGTTCAAATGTCTTGCCCCAGTTCTTCTCTGTGGGTTTAATCTGTCTCAGTGCCTTCTTGACTTTTCATCTAATCCCAGACTGAGTCCATGATGCTGAGATCAGGGCTATGTGGGGGTCAAACCCCTTACTTTTAGTTCTTATCTATTTGTTCCTCTATTCTTCTGTCCCTGCTGGGGGTCTGCCAGTGCTCGAGAGCGGCGCGGATCTCCTTAACTTTCCCCAAAACTGTCAAGTGCACAAACAGCCAAATGCACGCAAGCATTCAATATCTTTATACTGTAGTTCAATCATTTGTCCTTATACTTCCACTTGTACTTAGTGAGGGCAGGTCTGACTCTGGCTGTATGTTTGGGATTATTGTCCTGCTCCAGATTGAATTTGGGATTGATCAGATGCCCTCCTGATGGTGATGCACAATAGATAACAAGCTAAAACATCTAAAGTGCCTAAAACTTCAGCACAGTGCTACAGTTTATATAATCTATCCCTTAATACTGTGCTGCAGCAAACATTTCATTCTAATTTGACTGGAGAATATAAATTGTCTTATTTGATTAGAATACACCCCTGTGATAGACTGGCGACCTGTCCAGGGTGTGCCCCACCTCTTTCCCAGTGTTAGATGGGATTGGCTCCAGCCCCCTCACCCCACTAACCTATTCAGGAATAAGGGAATGGAATACACAGCACACAGTCTTCCACTTCATATATGAGTACAGTGCCTCACTGACTCCTGGCTCCCACTTCCATTACCTATGCTTCCTCCTCCTACACAATGTGTGGTCCTGTGCCACATTAATGTCCCATGTTTTAAAGAACCAAAAGGTTCCAGCCCCGTCAACACCAAACATGCACTTGAGACCATACACTGGTTCGACTTTTAAACTTGTCAATCAGGTAAAGGCTGAAGCTGTCCTGACTCTGAGACTGTGCGTACTTCCATTCGCACCAGATGCTTTTGGCTCCTCCCAGACAGCTCAGTAAAACATTCCAGCCCACCTCTGGGACTCTGCTGGCACCACCACACACCCACTGCACTCCAGTCAAAACTTTACAGGATCTAAAGACTGAGCTGACACAAAATGAGAGGACTTTTCATCTTGGTTACTTTGGCCTGCTTTGCCACCGCACAGCACCAAGCACTGATTGACTATTTGGAACGGAGGCTGCTCGCTATTGAGGTAAGACTGCCCTCACCTCCCTGCCGAGCCCTGTGCTCCAGAGTCCGTCTGAAAGGAAACTTCCAGGGACAGGGTAAAGGCAATGGAATGCAGATGTGGGCAAATTTTGCAGCTAGATTAAATGCATACGGATTACGAGCTTGTCTAAGTTGAAAATGGAGCTTCAGTTGTGTATGCATAGATGATGTCAGAAAACACCAGTTTAAACAAAACATTATATTTCAAAAAAAAATCTAAAATTATACCACAGTAGAGCTTTTTCATTTGTACTGTGATCCAGTAAAAGTCATTATTTCACCAAGGACACATGGCAGATTTTTGTGATGGATAAAAATATGTCATCTATTGTTACAAATACACTTCAAGGTACAGACTGCAGATAAATTACATGCAAATGCTTGCATGGGGATCTTACCATTCAGTTATTCTGTTTAAGTACTGTGAGTTTATTTAAAAGCTGAAGTATAAGAATTGCTCAATTCTCTTTTCTGTTAGGTCTAAAGTCTTTCAAACACAATTGATTACACTTAACTCCATCAAAATATGATTCTCCTCCTCAGTTTCTAAGTCTATAAAGTAGAGTCGGACTTTACTGATCACCTCTCTTCTCTTCCCCACAGTAAGGTCAGAGGTCAGGGTCTGCTACTGGGCAGTACCCACACAGCTGCAGGAGTCATTGTTTTGTTGAAAGACACTCAAGTAGGGTGTATGCTTGCCACGTGTGGGTCGAACCTGGTTGTTTAAGGATTATTCCTACTCATTATCCTGTCCCAGTTTATTCACTGCCACTGCAAAGAGCTTAAAATGACAACTGCTTTCTATAAATGTATTTGAAAAACATATCTATATATACTGTTGAAATACAAACAGATAATTGGGCAGCCTGACCACTTGTGCTTGTGTTCAGATTTAGATTTAACCCATCTCCTTTGCTATAAACAGGACCGGATCTCTCAGTGGCACGAACAGACCACCCGTTTTGCCTCAGAGCTGCGGGAGCTGAAGCAACAGATGGTTTCCCAGCTAGACAACCTGGACAAAGAGAAAGAGGCACTGAGAATGAATCTGGATGGTTTGGGGACAAGGGTGGACCGGGTCGAGCGTGAGCTGGACTACCTGGAGACTCAGAACGGGGCTCAGCCATGTGTGGATGTGGACGACAAGCTCATAGAGCAGCAGGTGACTCTAGTGAAGGAGAATCAGAAGGCCAAATATTCAAAATTCTCAGGTGAGATATGATGTTCTTAAGCTACATTTACTTATTTGATAAACAAGTATTGCACAGACATCAGCCATCCCACTGAGCCTCTCACTTTCTTATTTCCAGACTGCAGCGACATGATCTCCAGTATAAAAGCCATGAAGATCCTGAAGCGAGTTGGAGGGCCAAAGGGCATGTGGAGCAAAGACACCGGCAGGAGCTCTGGGAAGGTTTATATTTTCAATGGGACAGATGACGACACAATCTGGGAATTTGCCTCAGTGCAAGACTTTACCCGCTCACAGGGCATGTCTCTATCCAAGAACCTGAAGCTGCCATCTCCCTGGATGGGAACAGGACATGTCGTCTACAACGGCCATGCGTACTATATTGATCAGGCTGAAGAGATAAGAGTGGTCAAATATGATATAAAGAACAAATCTGTGACTGACAGTGCAGTGTTTCCAGTGCAGGACCATGTCCCTATGTACAGCCTGACCCCTGAGACACCGATGGACCTGGCCGTGGACGAGGAAGGCCTGTGGGCCGTTTATGCCACACGGCAGAACGAGAGGCACATCTCTCTAGCTAAAATGGACGCTAACTCACTAGACATCGAGCAGATGTGGGACACAAACTGTCCGAGGGAGAACGCAGAGGCGGCTTTTGTCATCTGTGGCACTCTGTATGTGGTGTACAACACCAAGCAGCCCGGTCGCTCACATGTGCAGTGCGTGTTTGATGTCAATGGCATGGTGACCAGTGAAGATGCTCCACTGGTTTACTTTCCAAAACGCTATGGAGCTCACTCCAGTCTGAAATACAACCCACATGAGCAGCTGCTCTATGCCTGGGATGACGGCTACCAGATTCTGTACAAGCTCATCATGAAAAAGAAACTGGAAATTTGAGCTGATTTCTGCAGACCATCCACCCAAACCTCCCCCTAACCATGCATCAGCTCTTAAAGGACCAAGCAGTGTTTTCTCTAGCGCCTTACAAATCCTGTATTCTTCCTGTAACTGGTGACTATTTTTTAATGTGTGCTGCAGAATTTCAGATTTTTTAATGTGTCATATGTTCAGGCAGCTATTAGTTTCCTACCATCTAATACTGTTGACTTGTGTAATCACAGTTAAAATAAAAAATAAAAGGATAAGACTGAAGTTTTTTCCACTGTTGCATCACAACAACTGCATAACTTGGAAAACAGATGTTTTCCAAGTTGTTCACATTAAACAACTCAAGAAAGTTTCAAGACTGCCAATTGCTTTTCATATTAACGGGAAATGAATGGAAAATGCAAGTTTTGTCCAACATAGTTTGTAAAATACCCAGCAGTGATATTAAGTACACATGGTTTGTAGTAAATCCGACTTTTAAAAAAAGCATAATCACTGGAGTTCTTTTGTATTTGGATTGCAGAAACATGTTTTTGTACCTTCACACATTTTCAGATGAGAACATTAGCCACATTTCCAAATTTCTTAAGATATTATGTGTTTTCCTTATTTGAGATACTTTTCTTTTTTCTAATCAAACTGCACGGCACTTCATCTTTGCAATCATTTATGTTTACCGGTGAGTCGACTTGAATAGATTTACACGCTTTCTCTACTGTCTGCTTCCAAGCACTTGTTTCTTTTTGCTCACACAAATATTGTGCTAATATAGGACACATTATACTTTTAAACTACTATAATACACCAGATCACTCACTTTATCCTCACTGTCAAAATCTCCCTATATTACACTTTACATGCTGTTTTGCTGTATGAATATATTTCACAGCATAAATCCTGGTAGGCTGAATCCATAAGCACTCGTGGTTGTTGTTTCCATATGAAGCAAATTCACTACTGCACATGCACGCAGGTGTTCACCCTCAGGGGAAGCCCGAGTCTGAGAACCATGGCTCTGTGGGAAGTCAAAGACAAAGGTAGCAGTATGTGTAGCACTGATAATAATTCGATTCAACCAAAAGAATGTGTTGCTGCTCTAGTCAAAATAAAACATTTATAGATTTATTATATAAAAAGAAAGCTTAGTTCAGAGGATCACATCAAAAAATATTAAGATTAAATTCAATTTAGTAGCTTCGTTAATTTGTCATTCTTAAAAGAGCACCAATTTGTTTATTTTTATTTTATACCTGAGTATATCATGTATTTACCTTTTTCTAGGATGCTCATTTTCCCAGGATCATTTCCATTTACTCTAATTATGGCTTTAAAAAAATGACAAACTACACCTTGAAAAACACACAATGTGTAGAATTACAAACATATTGAAGCTTCACGGTTTCATGGCATAAAAAACACAGATGTGTCTTCTCAGCCCGTGATCCTAACCTAGAAAGAATAGCATCTACTCTGAAAACTAACCCAAACCCATTCACTACAAGTTTTTAATGTGCCTGACAAGAGGCCAAGTGTAGAAAAGTGTGTATCTGGCCAGCCAGAGATTAAGTGTTACTGTAATCTGACTTAATAATGCGAGACATTTGACTCTGTTATTATAATTTATAATAGTTTCACGTTGCTCCAGAACTGAAAAGATGATCCACTTAGTCAAACTGCAACAGACACTGCTGACCTTCCAAAGGAACCACAGTGACCAAAATCATCAGTATGTTATTTAAAACGGTTTATTTTTTTACATCGTAAATAAACAACCATAAAAAAATGTTTCATTATGTTTGGATAAAATTTATAATAAGAAAGAGGCAACAGCACATTAAATTCTGTAAAACTCAACTTACAACATGGAACATCTGAATATCACAACTGCAGGTACAAAGCTGAGAACTTCAGTTTGGTGAATAATCCTAAAATGATCTGTGAACACTTCAGCACAACCCAAAGCTGCAGTTTTAAGAACTGTTTGGACCCACACTCTGAGTTTAACTGCCAGAAAAACCAGACCACAGCTATATTCTCACACTCTTCTAGCTCCAACTGCTTTACATCAGCTGACAATGTGTTGTGTGACAGCTTGTACTGAGAGCTGTCATTCTCTCACTCAGCTGCTGCTGCTGCTCAGTCTGACAGAAAATGGCACCTGCTATTTGCACTCACAAATTTGTGCAATCCTATTCAATGCTAATGACTTGAATAATTTTGACATGGTAAAACCAATATACTGATTAAATTGTGAAGTTTAATGGCAGCCAGACACATTCTAGTTATCTGACCTGCACTCTGTCACAGGACCAATCTCAAATAACGTTTATGTTAGAGACTGCAGCTGCACATACGCAAAATAATGATACTGAAGATTACAGTTAAACATTCATAACTATTACACCATCAGAGCTGGAAAAAACTGAGACTTTCAGGGATCATTCTAATCAAAAACTGGTTTTCAGTATCATCAAATAGCCCTTAAAGAAAGGATCCAATGTCATCTGTAGTGTCCGCTAGTTTTTGTCCACTTTGGTCATGGATCTGAATGGAGGCTGAGGTGCTGCTTATTGCTGAGAAGCTGCTGGCATTAAAACAGCCTGACAGTTTGTCTGACTTAGAGTCTCAGGTGAGGAAGTGGCATGGTGACGTCACGGAAGAATCGATGTACAAGTGCGTTTTTGGCAGATAATCTTTTGTTTGGATCATACGCCAGCATTTCCTGCAAGAGGGGAAAAACAAAAAGGATAAATGTGGTTAATTAATATGTTCCATGCACTTTACATTCTGCTGACTAAGCAGGCAGCCAGCCCTGGAAGGCTTGTAAAGGTAGAGGGTAAAATGAATGAGGTAAAATATAGGGAAAATCCTGGAGGACATTTTTATTCAGTCTGCAAGAATAAGCATAGAGCAAAAGCTACACAGAAATGGTTTAAAGACAACAAGGTGAGTGTTCTGGAGTGGCTGAGTCAAAGCCCAGACCTCAATCCAATAGAGAATTTGTGGCTGGACTTGAAAAGGGCTGTTCATGCCAGATGCCCGCGCAACCTGGCACAGCTTGAGCAGTTTTGCAAAGAAGAATGGAGTAAAATTGCAGTGTCCAGATGTGCAAGCCTGACTGAGACCTATCCACACAGACTCAGTGCTGTGATTGCAGCCAAAGGTGCATCTACTAAATACTGACTTGAAGGGGGTGAATATTTATGCAATCACTTATTTCACATTACATATTATTATTTAATTGACATTACCTTGTAGAAACCTGTTTTTACTTTGACATCATGAGGTTTTTTTGTAATTTCTTTCGCAAAAAAAAAAAAGTCAAATTATATTGACCATGACTGATTTACAAAATCAATAAAAGGGGAAAATATCCAAGGGGGTGAATACTTTTTATAGGCACTGTAAGCTCAATATAAACTGCACAGTACAATAGTAAATACAGGACCAGACTAAGGCCGGAACTCGCCTGTCTGATCTAAGGGTGCAGAAAAAAAAGTCAAGGTTAGTTCTATACTGTAAATCAGGAGCCGCACCTGCGTTGTAAACTAAAAACCAATACATAATCAGCTAGTAGTGTCATCTAAGAAACACATCAAACAAAGCGCACTACCACACGCACGAACACACACACACACACACACACACACACACAGAGGCTAAAGCTGCGCTGCACAGATGTTATGCAGATCAAGCAGATAAACCTGTGGAGAAACAAGAGCAGAAAAACTGAAACAATGACAATAAAAAAAAGAGTGTCCATAGCTAAAGTCTAGACTGGCCTACTCTACATTTCTCTCAAAGACAATACCATGACCACTGCTGCTACAAGTGACAAAAAAAAAAAAAAAAAAAAAAACGGCTCGCTGATGAGAGAGGGGCTGCTGAACTGAATGAGCTACAGAGGTCCTGCTCAATGACAGTGTTCAACAAGTTTAATTATGGTTATGTGACTGACGGTGCCTGGTTTAGACAAGGTAAAACCTATATAAGCGGCTTCAAATTAGGTGTTAGAGCAGAATTCAAAACTGAACCTGATCCCCTGATGTGACAGCACGGCCCATTGTGCTTCTGCCACACTCCCTTCCCCACCTTTTCATTCTTTCAAGAATTACTGTTATGTTGCATTGGAATACAATCTAATAACCAAATACGTTCACCACAAAATATAACATTTGATGCACAGGCTATATAGGAACATAATTTTTAGAAGAGAGTGTGTCTCTTTGGCCAAGACTGGCCCTGAAATGCAGACAACATCAGAGGTACTATTTGGAAGCGCATAAAAGAGTAACAGAGCGACTGTCTCTTTTCTATAGCGTTGAGTTGACAACCTTGATTTAACAATGGAAAAAACTGTACACATAATGCAATAACTGCCAGTGGCACAACGTCTCAAATGGCGTATAGGGTCTGAACATAAGCATAACAAAACAGGCTAGTGGTTAAGGCACAGCGCAGGTTCAAATCATGGTTGCGTCAGGAAGGGCATCTGATGTAAAACGTGCCAAATGTCAACATGCAAGTCGTCAGTGTGATGATTCACTGTGGCGACCCCTAAACAGGAAAAGCCGAAAGTGACTTTCTATTACTGTGACGGACACAGACACTGATTAATATGAAGACATCCACTGCCAACCAAGTGCCTCAGCTCTGTCTGGCGGTCCTACTGTAGTCACCCACCAGCAGTTCCAGACATTAACAGAAGGATCAAATTATCAGTCGGCCTCTGCAGTAAAATACAACAAACACTGCTTCACCTGGTGGATATATGCAACACTGTGGGAGGTTTGCATACATGGTGCTTAAGGCCATTAACAAGGCGGCGCTACAATCACTGCATCGTAGCGGGGGATACACGGTAAGAGCAGGGGCCGTGCACGGACCTGTCATGGTTCCACAGCAGTCCAGTCAGCAATTTAAGATGGATGCATCTGTAACCTACTCTACCTTAGCACCAATTCTACAACTAGTGTCTGCACCGATAGATAAAAAACACCATTTAAAATCCAGTATAATGAAAACGCATGAAGTGCCGTTATGGGGCGTTAACTATGGCCCAAATTCGACAGTGAATAGCAGTGAATGCTCATGCCAACAAGGTAAACAAAAGAGAGCCTTCATCCCATGGGCATCCACATCCCAATCATCCCCTGTACGTGACTGGTCAATGCAGCGCCTTTGCTAGATGATGTCCGGTGCAGAGAAAGTTGAAACAGAATCAACTTTTTCGCCGCAAGGGGTTGCATCATTTTGCCAGAGCCCCCTGCAATGCTGGTGCCAGCTGCAGTGAAAGGAATCCTCCATAAAACAAATGGAGAGGGCTGCCTTTTCTCACATCTTTGAAACTCAGTCTGCACGCAGCCTAACACACAAACATACAGGACCAACCACCTGAGCCAAAGTACAAACTTAAAAAATTAGTGAATTGATTTTAAGTGTTCTCACTCCGAGCAGTTCTCTCCCATCCTCTTCAAGAAGAGGCACCACTTTGGATAAATCCTGTTTGGCCCACTTGGGGAAAGATGGTTTGTAGTCGGGCATTGATGTGACTCCCGGCCAGACGGTCTCATCAGGGGTGCCCAAGGTGCGGAAGATTCTGAATAACTGATCAATCTCTGAGTCGCCGGGAAATAAGGCCCTCCTGGTGATCTGCACAAAAGTGGACAATGAGGTCAAACTGCAGGTGAGGGCGTGATCCAACGAGCATCATGTCCAGCCTTTACTTTTCCCCACTGTGAAGATGAGTGCATTACCATTTCAGCAAAGATGCATCCAAGGCTCCAGATGTCGACAGCTGTGGAGTAGTATTTGCAGCCCAGGAGAATTTCTGGCGCCCTGTACCAAAGTGTTACCACCTGAAAAACCATCACAGAAGAAAGGCTGTTATTAAATATGCTACTGTCTTTGTTTGGAGCAAAGTTAGCCTTACATGTAGTGCCTAAGAAAACTAAATCTAGAAAAAAGTGAAGGCGTGTGACTGCTTTGAGCTCACTGCAACGCCCACAATAACCCAAACACCTGTCTTATTTAAGAGCTGTTTTAGTCATTCATTCCATACTGGGAATAGTAATGGATTTGCAGTTTATATGATAAATTCTTCTATTTTACAAAGGAAGCTTGTTGACACAGATAAACATGGTAGCTGTACAACTTTACCTCGTGTGTGTATGTACGGACAGGAACCCCGAAGGCTCTTGCCAGCCCAAAGTCAGCGAGCTTGATCTCACCCTGGGCATTGATGAGGAGGTTCTGTGGCTTCAGGTCTCGATGAAGGACCCGGTGAGAGTGGCAGAAGGCCAGGCCTTGGAGCAACTGGAAAAGATAACTCTAAAGACACAAGAAATATCCGGGTGAGCGGGCTCAGAAATCCATTCTTAATCCTTCTGGATTTGGAAAAAAACTATCTTAAAGACAGAGACAGATGTGTTTTAGCAATCTGGCTGAAATTTACCTTAACCAGAGGCAGGGGGATACCAGTGAGCGAGGAGGAGTCCATGAACTTCTTTAGATCCTGATGAAGGAACTCAAAAACAAGGTAGAGCTTGTTCTCGGTGTGGATGACGTCTCGCAGTCTAACACAAGTTAACAGGCACAGTGGCTTACAAACGAATAGAAGCACCAAAATAATATTGCAAGCAGAACTTAGCTAAAGTTATAAGACTACAGACACTTACTTGACAATATTTGGGTGACTGAGTTCTTTGAGAAGTGAAATCTCTCGGATGGCCGTGCTTGGTACACCCTCGGTTTCCCTGATTAAAATACATAGCAAATTAACTGGTTATTAAAATTCATTCATTAATCCCAGGTTATAATAATGTTGCTAGTTTTTTTTTCTGGCTTCACTTTTGTGTGTCTTGAGGAGGAGTTAAAGCATTCACACCAAAAATAACTGGAGGGGCAAACAACCCAGATGTTCCACAGGATAAAGAAAACCAGAGCTGCACAATCAGCAGCCTCTCAAGTTCTATGAATATGTATGACTGCATCAGCGCAGGCAGTGCAGCCAATAAATTGGCAAAGAGGATGATAAGCACACCAGTGACTGTGCTTCCTGTGGTCTGACACAAAGGTCAGGAACACTGGATACAGAGATTCACTACCACCAGCTGCTGAAGCATAGGATGGTCAATGTATGATCAATGGTACAGCATGGCACCACAGAATTACTCCAAATAAATAAACAAGGCCTTCACAAAGTATGCACATTTTTTGTACAATGCCCTAAAACTTTGTCTTGTGTCTGTAACGTTTATGGCAAAAAGCTGGTGGAGCCACATGGTCGGTAAATCGGTTACATTTGTATCAGACTGGGTAAGGCAGCTCGGCCGCCCGTGGTGCAGATGATAACTTCACGTTAACTTACGTGTCTAGCCTGATTTTCTTCAGAGCAACAGTTTCTCCGGTCACTTTGTTCTTGGCTTTGTACACCACCCCGTACGTGCCTTCTCCTATCTTTTCCACCTTCTGAAACGCATCCATTTTAAAAACACGAGGCTTGTTGTTTGTTTAGCTAGTTAGCAAGACTCCCCTCTTTGTGCTGAGGCTAACAACGTCTCGGTGGCTACGGCAACGAGTGGGGACCGACATACAGTTAACGACACGTCCAAGCTAGTTCAGGCGGTCCGGACACACCACAGCCCGGGGACAGCGGTTCTGTTGAGGATAAACTTTCTCACGTCGGGGTGAAACAATTAAAACTGTGATAAGGATCATCTGTTGTCCCGGATAGTGACAAACCGTTACTGTGTGGATTAGGAGGCTTCTCTCTGTGAAACACCGGACAAACAACACGGCAGCATTTCCCGCGTTACTCGGGGAAAGTTCGCTTTCGTGTTGACAACACACCGACTATTGGAGTCGGGCGGTGTTTCATAGTTTTGTAATCGCCTCTCCACTAGTGCCTACCTTCGTAATCGTTTGGTAATAAACTGGCACTGTAAGTAAAAAAAAAAAAAAAAACGTCGTACGTTGTGTTACAATTCTTCTTTTAGGTGATAGTGGGTACAAGTGGGGAGATTGGGTCATATTTGTCAGGATGAGAAAGAACCTTTAACAAACAACCTTCACAGATCACGTTGTGACACGACGATGACGTTTTACGTAATCATGTTTTTTTTCCTTTTATTATAGCCTAATAAAACAAACTAGAAAATTGCATTTTCTAAAGAAAATGCGTATGGATGCTGAGTGCTGAAAGATCGCCCTGAAAATGCTGAATATTTTGACACCTGAATGCTTTTGCTAGCTGAAAGCATGCTGAAGTTGGAATTTCCCATTCATTTGAATGGGGCAAGAGTTTCAAAATAAAGCTG